TTTACAACGAGAAAGAGTAACATGATCACAGTCTTTCAATAATACTTGAGGGGCAGTCACATAGAAGAGGCGGTCAACTTATTCTCCAAAGCCCCTGAAGGCAGGACAAGAAGTAATGGATGGAAACTCTCAAAGGGAGATCCAACCTAAAATTAAGGAGATATTTCCCGACAGTGAGAACATTTAATCAGTGGAATGGTTGCCTCCAGAAGTTGTGGATGTTCCATTACTGGAGGTGTCCATGGAGATTCTCAGAACTGAAGAAGCTTCTTGGATGAGAAGCAAAAGGTCTTCAAGGAAAAACAAAGTCAAGGACAACCGTGGCCTGGATGATGGAGAATCTTTGCAGACTACAAGTAAAAACATGAAATGAATGCTTGGCTAGCAGTGTTGTGGCCACTGAGGTTTATCCAAGGCACAACGATTCCTAACCGAACACCTCCCAGCATTTGCGGTGGTCCCATTCACTTGGGAAGCCCTGAAGTTGCAGCTGCAAACCATGGAGGTCATGAGAAGTTGGGCAGAGCTGCTCTCAGGTCTAAAGTTCACATCTGGACTTCTGGACATTGAGTGGCGTTGCCACTTCTCTCAGAAACGGCCATGCGGGCAACTCTGGAAGGTCAGATCTTTCCAGATGCTGGCATCTTCCTTGCCTTCCTTGTGGGCGACCACTTCATGTAGTCAAAACAGAAGAACTGTTGTGGCTTTGGAGCACAGAGAGGCCCTGATAGGCTGGCGGTAGAGCTTGGAGCCAAACTGCCTCAAGGTTAAGAGAGGAGTGCAGCGATGTTCTTGGGGAAGCTTATCAGGACCTTGCCAGACATGGTCGGATCATGTTCAGCCATCTCCTGGTCACCATCCCAACCTGCATAAATAACAGCACCGAAGTCATGCTGCATTTGGCTCTTGTTTTTCAAAGGTTACTCACTTTCATTTTTTTTATTGCCACTTTCACAGAGCAACCTCCCTTAATTGCTCTTACTGTAGATCATCCAAAGCATATAATTAAAGACCGGCTTTTGAGTTGATTTATTGAGATGCTCTTTGATTTGACATTTTTATGTTTGCAGGCTTATTTTTTAAATTATGGCCAGAGGAAGTTTCAGATAAACCTCATTTAATGTAGGGAGCCAGATCCTCCAGGACCTCAGATACTGTTTTTAAGTAGTCAGGATTTTTCTCTATCTCCCCCATTATTTCTCATTAATTATTTTATTTTCTTCCAAGCTGGCTTTTGAGAAGGAGGTGGTAGAGTTTCAGGGAGATATAAAAGCATTTTATTGTCTAGAACAACAAAATCTGGCTCTGTAGATTTTATGGTTGTAAGCAAGACAATTATGATAGCAAACACCCAGGAGTGGAAAATAAATAAATAACGGCTACAAACAGTCCATTTCGGAGAATTAGAAAACTCGTAATCACGGACTTCCTGGGGTTTTAGTCATCTCTGTGTAATGTGATGCCAAGGTCTGAAGGTTGCCTGGATCGGCTTAGATCTCCCGGGCAGAGCAGCTCCTGGGCCATGCAGGACATTCAGGATTACGCTACCTGTTCAATCGCTGAGCTCAGGCAAGGGCCAGGGTTGACAGAGCTGGCCTACACACACAGACACACACACACAGACACACACACACACACACACCAGCAAAACGACTAAAAGGACATAGAAAAATGCCTTTCTTTTTCTTAATTCTGTAGGGCAGGGTTTAAAAGATGGCTGCCCTTCTCCTGGGTCACCTGGACAAGCCAACAGTCCTTGTCTAAGCAAAGCCCAGGGCAAGTCTTGACAAGCTGTGGCTGGGCCTGCAAAACACACCTGCAAACAAGCTGGATGGCAGCCAGTGGCCCCTCCTTGGCCTGGCCCAGCTGAGCTCTGCCACTCTTTCTGTTATGAAGAGGGAAGGAGACCTGGGTGAGGGAAGCTGGACTTCAGGAATTGTGCAAAACTAGGCAAGCGCATTCTTCCCATTAAAAGTATGGTTTAAATGTTAAATTCTGGTGGAAAGTTTTTATTTTTTTAAAAAAAATTATAAGGTTCGGTCAGTAGGTTTGTTTGTTTGATGTGTTTAATGATGGGAAGTGGTGTGTTTATCTTGTGCCACTAGCACAAGTAAAGTCATTAGCATTGTTCATGGGCCAGACAAATCCATTTATCGTTTATGGCAGGGCCGGGGAAACGGTGGCCCTTTTATGATGTGTGGATTTCAGCTCCCAGAATTTCTCAACCAGCCCCAAGTCATAAAGGGGCCCTTGTTCCCCACCTCTGATTTAGGGAGTCAAGGATTTGAGAGCCCTTTCAGAACCCCTGAAGTTGCAGAACTTCTACGAAAACGGTGGTGCTTGGACCGGCCCACAGCCGTCCAGCAGCCCAAAAGAAATGCACAAGGGCAAGAAGCAATTCAATGAAATGACCACATAGAAGACAACCCATAAAGTCAATAGAGCGTCCTGGTTGTCTAGGAAGATATGGCTTTTTTTAAAAAAAGACAACCAAAATTGAATATTAGTGGGGCGGGGAATCAATAAATTGCACAATAGCAAAAGCAGTGGGACCAGTTAAAAAGTAGAACAATTCAGACAGATCCGAGAAAGGCTGTGAAGGGAACCAGAGGACCAACCGGGAAGTCAGCCTCCTTTTGAAAAGAGCTGATTGTCCCACTCACAGGCAGGAGGAATCAGGGATCTAAGTTAACCCCCCCCCCAGAGATCAGGATGGCCCCCTCTCTGACACTCTTCCGGAAGGCCCTGAAGACGGCCTGGTTCTGCCTGGGGAGCCCAGAGCGGGAGGGATCCCTTCCAGTGGCTCATTGTGTGATCTGCTGCCGTTGGGATGGCGGGGAGTTGGGGGTGATTATGTATTTATTTATTTTCCAGATTTTGTCCAACTGTACTTTATTAATTTATTTGATTCTTTTTGTTAGTTTTTATTGTTGTTTTAATTTTAAATATGGTTTTACTGTCAGGGTTCCGGTAGTCACCCCCATTTAGACCAGAGAAATATTTTATGAGTTGACATTTACATTCTGTAAGCTGCCCCAAGTCGCCAAGGGCAAATAGCCGGCAATATTTACTTGATTAATTAATAAGTTGCCTCTGATCCCATTTGAATATTAGGAAATCTTGCTAGTATATTTAGTGTGAACTTTAGTATGAAATGGAGAGCTGACCTGTACTGAGTGGGGAAGGGGAGCAAGACCCCTCGGTGCTGCTGCAATAGCTGAGCCTCCCTTTTTACTCAGCCTTGGAGGTTCCCATTGTGACGGGGAGCAGCCACAGAATTCACAGCCTTCAGGCGGCTTCCGTGGAGCCCCCAAATTAACATTTTAAAAACACAACATTTAATTTTTAAAAATGACACAGGCTGCCAGAAGGAATGAGAACTTTCCTAAGAGATCTTACAAGATTTTGGGGCAGGGTAGGTCATCCAAGGGACGCGGTGGCTCAGTGGTTAAGATGCTGAGTTTGTCAATCAGAAAGTTCGACAGTTCAGCGGTTCGAATCCCCAGCGCTGCGTAATGGAGCGAGCTCCCATTCCTTGTCCCAGCTTCTGTCATCCTAGCAGTTCGAAAGCACGTAAAAAATGCAAGTAGAAAAACAGGGACCACTTTGGTGGGAAGGGAACAGCGTTCCATATGCCTTGGGCGTTTAGTTAACCGCACCAAATTTGATTGCAGGAAATACGACTTCAGCAACTGAGTGGTCAATGTCTGGAATTCTCTGCCTGACTGTGGTTTCTTCCCCAAACCCCAAAAACTTTAACCTTAGACTGTCAACTATTGACCTCACCCCTTTCCTAAGAGGTCTGTAGGGAGCGTGCATAAGCGCACCAACCGTGCCTACCGTCCTTGTCCTATTGTTTCTTTTTATTTTTCATATAAGTATCTATCTCATGTATTCAAAACTGTTTATTCTTATTCTTGTATCTTGTAAATGATTGACAAATCAAATAAATACTAAAAAAAACAAAAACCCTAAATACTAGTCCTGCCAGCCACATGACCACAGAGACGCCTTCGGACAGCGCTGGCTCTTCTTTGGCTTTGTGATGGAGATGAACACTGCCCCCTAGAGCCAGAAACGAGTAGCACAGATGTGCGAGGGGAACCTTTACCTTACCTTTAGATCATGAAAGATTAATGCTCCATTTTGCCCTTGAGCATACTGGCCCCTGCCACATAAAAAGGTGGCTCCCCTCTACCTTGTGGAGAGTATATATCTAGTCTTGTAGGATCAGGTCAAACACGTTTGCAACATGCTCTTCTGTTTGCAAGAAGGGTGGTCAGAAATCTAGTTGTTCAGAAATATAAAAGCATAATGATGGGAAAAACCCCAGTTACAATTCCTGCAGCAGTAGATTCAGGCTATACTGCTGCTCTGGGCGTTGGGGAAAATTCCATATAATTGTAATGGTCAGTACTGAATGTCGAGAATCATTCAGAGGAACATAATTCCACCTTGTCACACCGACTGCGACAAACACAAGAGGAGGAAGGGCACTCATTTTAGGGGCACCCACCACCACCATGGTGTCAATCACTCCCAAATGGTTTGTTCAAATCCTAACACATTAATTTTTGTAAATGCTAACCATATTCCTTACAAATTTGTGCAAGTCTGCACAGCATTCCCCTGTGAAACCTTGCTTGAGAAGATTGGACCCTCATCGCAAAGCCTAGCTGAGATAGTGAAAAATCATAGAAAGTTATTTCTTATTTCTTCGCATTATGTTTACACAACTGAATGGGAGCTGCATTAAAATTCTGTCCAGCTACCTCTCTGCCTGGGCTGGCCAGAGGAATCCAGAGGGACCCCGTGGGCGGTCTGGTGGCTCTGGTGTCTGCCCCCAGAGGAGCAGCCCAAGAGCAGCAGGTTCATAAGGTTTAGTTATGTGAAAGAAGCGTCCACAAATTTTTCCTCCTTTGATGAAATGCCCACTCATGGTATAAACAGTCAACCTGTCATGGAACGTTTTCTTAGAAGCCCTTTTTTTCTCCTTTCAGCCCGCAAGTTGAAGAAATTGGGCAACCTGAAGATGCAAGAAGAAGGGGAGGCAGCAGGGCCCTCGAGCCCCACTGAGGAGCAAGCCACGAAAATGCCGCTGGCGCATATTGATAGCCTGGAATGCCAGCCCATCTTCCTCAATGTCCTGGAAGCCATTGAGCCTGGCGTGGTTTGCGCAGGGCACGACAACAACCAGCCCGACTCCTTCGGCTCCCTTCTCACCAGTTTGAATGAACTTGGAGAGAGGCACCTGGTACATGTGGTGAAATGGGCAAAAGCCTTGCCAGGTAAGAAGCATTTTTTGGGGGGTACCCCCAGCTCCCATTCAGCCTATCAGGATCTGAAGATGTTAAGCAAGCGGGGGTGGTGGTGTCTTAGGTGGTGGAGGCACTCGGTGAAAGTCGTAGCGGAGACGTCCTGGCAATTTTAGAGCTGAAGGCTAGGCTGGAGTTTGAAAAAACTTCTTGGAAGAAGGTGGTAACTAACATAAAGCATAAAATGATAAGGCTTGAAGCGACCTTGGAGGTCTTCTAGTCCAACCCCTGCTTTGTTGTTGCCACAAAAACTGCAGGGGATGGTCCATGAGGGGTTGCCTTTATCTCAAGGACACTTGACTGAGGGTAGGTGGCATGGATACATTCCTTGGTATCCATCAGGCTCCTGCTGCATTAGGCTTAGCAGTTTTAAATGCAAAGAAAGGGCCAAACGCTACTGAGAGATTTATTGCCTATTCGTATTTCTTGGCTCCGCATAAGTCCTGTTGGTATTTTGAAAAAATAAAAAGGCTCAAAAGATCGTCCCCCGAGAGCAGCCATCCGAGTCTCCTTTTGTGCTCAGAAACCCCAGCTGCCGTGCTGGGCTTCACCTGCCTCCACCGTCCAGTGCCCCCCTTGAAGACTTGCCTTCCTCTCTCTGGCCAGAGAAGGTGCCGCCTTCCTAAAGGCTTCTTTGCTGCCCAGAATTTCTTGCTCAAGGATTATTTGAGGTTTGTTTTGTTTTGATTGATTGATTGAGACTTGGCTTCTGTTTCTTATGCAAAATAAGAAAAAAAGTTTCTGTTCAAATACTACGCACAGCTCCTTCTTCCATTATCGTGCATATTCTTTGAACTTAAATTTTGTTGTTTTCTTCATTATCTGCTGTCAAAACAATGGGTAAAAAGCCAGTTGGAGAGGAAATTCATGCATAAGGAATCCATCAGTGTCAAAGAAAAGCTGAAGAACAATCCCAGGCTGCCATTCAATTGAACAAATGAAAGAACCAGGTTTTTCAAAATATTGAAGGGCCTTACAGGACAAGATGCTCCCTGAGAAAATATATTTCAGACCGCTCCGTGAGATCTTAGCCTTCTGATTCGTTCCAAATGGCTTTTTCTTTATGCCCCACATGCAAGCCAATCAGAATTGAATAGGGGCAGCTGATAGTCCTATTCCAGTCTTTGTCCAAAAGACTCAAACGATGCACCTGGACCCGTTCCTGTTGCATAAAGTGCCCGAGGTGACCCTGTCCCAGGGAGCTTCAAGGACCCAGAGACCCCCACCAGGCCCCCTTTGCATCACCCGGGACTCTCACTCTGAATTGCCTTGCATACAAGACACTCGGGGCAGCTAAGGGGGAACCCACAGGCCTTCTGCCTCCACACTCCCTGGCCCGCCTGCATTTTGACAACGACACATGGAACAAAATACATGGAAACCTGGGCTGCTGGGAAAATGAACATTAGCCATTAAGCCTCTAAACCTTTATTCTCCCAGGTGTCCCTAGGGAAAGGGGGCCATGCTGATGCCTGGGGAAGACAAGAGGAAACCTTGCGGGAGGAGGCGGAAATCGCTCCAGAGGAAAGGACAATTGGGGATGACACGTTTTGTGAATAGGCAACTATCTTCTGAGCATTTTGCAATGCCTTCCGAATTCAACCCCCACCCCCACCCCACCCCACACACACAAAAGGTTTTGCAAGTATTCTTCCCTTCAGAGCCTGAGCGTTGGTGCTGCTGGGAAGAGAAGTCTGGAGTGCCAGAGTGGGATTCCTCCTCCCTAGATCGCCTCGGCCTCCAGGTACCTCTGGATTCATGGGCAACATCAGGACAAAAATGCACTTATAAGGCCTAACTAAAAAGCGGAAGGTCGAAACTTAAGCACCAACTACAATGAACCTTTTGAACTTTCAATATTTCTGCATAAATGTGACCTAAATGTTATTTGATCTTTATCTACTGAAACTAGATAAAGAAAACCAAATTAAACAAATGAGTCAAAAGCATTCCCTGATTGAGGAAAATGCTGCAATATTTATGTGTTGCAAAAGTCTGTCTCTACTTTGCTTTCAGTAACTCCCAGGCAGCAATGCCTGTAACTAAACGTTTCTGATAACTGCTGGTCAGCCCCTCACATCAGCTGGGAGGAATTTTAGCCCCCTGCTTCCTCCTGACTCTAATTTCCCCCTCAAATGAAGCCTAGAGGTTTACATAACTTTGCTACACACAAATATGTAGCTTTGGATCATTTTCCTGAATAAAGAAATGGAGTATACTGATTCTGATTAACTTCTGTAATTGGGTTGTCTTTCTCTAGTTTGAGGCATTGTGTAAAGAACAGATTATCATTTAATATTCGTGCAGGAATATTGAAAATCCAAACATGTTCACAAATGTTCACCTCATTATAACTCATTAATTTGTAGGACGAAAGAAGCAGCTTCTTCCTTTTTCAGTGTCACCTCAGTCCTGCTTATAAAGTATTACCAGTTCTACTTTCTGCTAATTGTCATGAAAGTGGCATAGGAATTATCAGTTTCATTAATCTCACTTTTCCAGCAATGTTCAATTTGTATATACACATACCTCTGGGTGCATGCTTAAGCAAGTTGTATTTATAAAAGAAAGGGATTCTACCACCTTCATTGATTGTTACGTCTCCAAATAGCTGCTGAAATGAAAATTTCAGCAATGAAAAGAACAATGTTTGGTTTTGGTAGTAGAATTCTACCTCTTTTCATTCAATGCCTCTTCCTCAAGTGGGTCTCCATCTGTTTTGGACAGCGATCACCCCTTTCCTCCCCCATCATTCTATGGACACAGACACGCTAACTGGGAATAATGGGATGCGCTTGTTGAACAGGCCCTTCTTCTGGGGAAGTTGCCTTGCCCTATGGGAAGCGAGTTCTTGGGTGCTGACACCAACATCCATAAAATCTGATGTATAGTAGGGAAAGAGAACAAAAGAAAGTTGTGAAGTTATTGGGACATGAACGTGCCTTTGTTTGTGTTCATTACCCATAAATCAATTGCCCATATTTTTCTTATGGGAATGAATTCAGAAACAGTAGGTCTTCTCCTTAGAGTGATTGACTGGCCAGTTTGGTGTAGTGGTTAAAGACACCAGGCTACAAACCAGGAGACTGTGAATTCTAGTTCCACCTTAAAAGACTGTGAATTCTAGTTCCACCTTGGCTGGATGTCTGCGAACCAGCCTTTGTCCCTCTGCAGAACCAGCTCCAGGATTGTGTTGTGAGGAAAGAAATAGGAAAAGGGGATATTATGTATCCTGACTTCAATTATACAAAATAATAGTTGGGTGTCGTTTTTGCCAGATTGCAAAAACTGCAGTCACACATGACCATGGAATTCTGCAGTCGGTCCTATATGTGACCAAATGCAGTCATGTTGATCTATAAGTTGTAAAGATTCTTTTTGAGGCAGTTGTAACTTTGAATGGTCATGAAATGATCAGTCATAAGTCAAGGACTCCCTGTACATCAACAAGAGTTTAAATATTACCCCCCACCTGCCCTGCATGGTTATTTTCACAGAGAGTGTGGCAAAGGCAGAGCCTCCGTCCCTTGGATCCCAGCACAGAGTCCTGTTGGAAGAATATGCCAATCATATCCGGTGCAGATGAAAGATGGCGGCTGGAGGAAAAGGGGAGCAAACTAAGGGCCACCCTTGTTCCATAAGGTTTCCCACATGAAGGTTGGAGGGGCACAGTCTGCTGCCCAGGACAAGATGCCTCCCCCAGGGGAAGAAAAACCTCTGGTGAGCATTGAAAGGCGCGGCAGGAAAGAATGGCTAAACTAGGAGGAGCCAACCAGCTGAATTAATGCTCCGTGTTGAGGTAATTCCCCGTTAGGAGAATGAGCGCATACAGGGAGACGTATCTGAGAATGGTGTTTGAATAATATACATACGGCACACAGATACACTGTACAGTAAATGTAGGTTTTTACTTCCAGAAACGTTAAGCAAAGTCCAAATAAGCAATCCAAAATCATTCACAGGTTAAATCAGTCAGTTTTCAATCCAGGGATAATCGAAATATCAAATTCCAGTGTCAAAAACAGTTCAGTATCAGACTTACATCAAATCCAGTAATATCAGTCAATTAGGAAAAATGGAGGAACGGCAATACTTTCCAACAGAAGGAAACAGAGATACTCACTCCGACACACTCTCTTCTGAGACTAAGACTAAACAACCCAGGTTTCTGGCTCCATCTTATGGCTGTTTGAGAAACCACACCCAATTGCATGCTCTTGCATTCCCTTAAAGATATAGTACTAAAATATTTATCCTGGTTTATATATTTCTAACCCAAATACCTGTTAGGTGACTTATATTCCTAACACTCCGGATGTGGGAAAAATACCTCCAGCCACCCAAGGGGGTGGGGGTGGGGGGCTGTCTTTTAAATCAGCTTCTCCAAATACAAGTGGAAAGGACTTTCAGTGCTTCAGCCACCAACAAAACCATGCTTTCCACTGAGGAGGTAAAGTGATATAGTGAGAAATTTACTAACACGAGAAACCGAAGAGCATAAGGAACAAGCTCTCTTCCTGATGAACACGGATAGGGAGAAGAGATGATCCAAACTCATCAAATGGATACTGGCCGATTCATGTCTGTCCTGATCAGGTTAAACAATATTGCTAGAAGAGCAAAAATCCTTCAGAATACTACAGGCCACTGTAGGTGGCTGGGCACGCAGGTGGAGCAGCTGGAGATGTACTAATCCTCCCTGCTCATCCTTAGCGGGCAGGGAAGGAAAAGCAGGACCTGGGAGGGGAAAAAAAAGGCAAGGACTGTCCCGTTGAGAAAGATAGGAAGTCCTGAACCCTAGCCTCCTTCTCCGGTATGAGGGGTTCCTTGACAAGAATGTGCTACAACCCATAAAAAAAAGGAAAATGTCTTTAGCAAAAGCCTTGCGGGGTGTAGGAAAGGTTTTAAAATAAATTGAAAGGAGGCAGCAGCCCAGACGTCAATAGAGGAAGGAGTTTGCTAACAGTGGCAAG